CATGCTATGCAAGTAATTCACAGACAGGAATGAAGAACGTTCAGTGTACAAATACATAGTGGACCTGATCAGCGAAAAAAAATATTGTGTAAAAAACTGGCATTAACCTCGGCCTCGAAATTCTTTTTTCTGAAGCCGGACCGCAGGACATTCCAGTGTTCTGATCACAAATGCAATCCTGATTATCACAAGAATGCTGAGTGATAGGCAAAAGTTCTGATGGGATTTGAACTCGTAGCGCTTTCTGAGAGAGTGCGTATCCTTTACGGCACCAGGGCTGCCTGTGGCCCCCTCACAGTGTCTTAGGAAAGGAAGTCACACCATAGGATAAGGTCCTGGTGGGAGGGAAGTGGGGAGGGCGTCGTGTTACTGTGACTTTAGTGGCTGCGGAAGTCGACCTATGAGCGCGTCGCGTCGAGCTGCTTTTTTTAACCAGATAGTCCATCGCACCTCAACAAAACGACAATAAGTGTAGTCTCCGAGAGCACCCTGCCAGAGTGAAGAGCGTGAATGGAAACTGCAGCGACCACAATCTAATTCAATAATGCAATCTTTCTCGCAAAGGTGCGCTTCATTGCAAGCCCGGGTGTTTGCAGCGAACCGCCCACGCGACGTGGCTGTTGCTAAAGATCATCGTCAAGCTGCAGCACTCTGGTTTTAGCAGAAGTCCTTTTACCGTACACGACGTCATTTTTGATATAGTCGCAGTCAGTCGGGGCGTTTTCAGGAGGGGCGAAATGAGCCGCACCTCGTTCCGCTTTCTAATACCGACTGGTTAGTGATCGTTCAGGAAGGAGGCAACCAGCGGTGGAAACGCCGTGGGTGGACTCGTTCCATGCCTATTGACACCTGCTCGACTGATGGCGACGACTATACAAAATCCACACTGATTAGGCTCCCTATTGGTCTGGCTCCCTATTCCACTGCTCTTCTGGCCTGCTGTTAGCTCATGTCTGTCCCACTTGCGTTAGAATTAAGGCACATCGTTGTTGGGGACTCGCCAACGGGGGGGGGAGTCGTATTCGGGCTGAAAAAAACTGTTTTTGATAGGTTGATTTTTCTTGTTTCAGGGACGTTGTAGAGAGGGCAGTCGTATTCGGGTTCCGACCTTCTGAGAGACATTGCTGACTTTTCATGGTTTTTCCTGTTTCATGTGCACTGTTACCCCCCCCCCCGCTCGACAACTTTTTCGCCGAGTATAAACCACAACCACAGTCAGCCATGTCAGCCATCGTACGAGCATGGGGGGGGGGGGGGGGGTCGTACCAGCCCCTGAAAAAGGGGGGGGGGG